CCAGTCTGAGTTCTGTGACAGGTTAAACACACAGAACTCTGAAGTAGAGATGGAAACATTCCCTATCTTATGAAACAGCACCTTCACACATGTGTGGCTTTTGGACTTTGACATGCAACATCTTCATTCTTTACATTGACTCATATCTGAAGGTTTTTTCTGCAGGTTTTTTCTGCAGTCAACCCATGCACTGGTTTATTGTCCTGTAGATTATTTGCGAGTATTTCTGTGCATACAACATGCTTACATGATCCATCATTTAGAAGCGATGCTACTTGTGCATATGGACACAACATGTGCATTTTAGAGCCTGTTTGTTGGCAGCTTGTCCTCCACATTTCCACATACCAGGAGAAGAAAGTCAGAATAAAGGATCTGTATGTTGAAGTACAGCTAATTTATTTTCTGACAAATCCATACCATTAAAGGTTGGTCAGAAGGTCACATTAATCTGTCGATTTGTCTCGAAGATGGATAAGCAGCTGCTAAGGGAACATGGCATCCCATAATGCTGGATTGGTGTTTATTATTTAGTGCTGCCTTGCAACGGACCATTGCACTTTTTTTTCTCTTCTCTGCTCTGCTCTGCTCTCCTCTCTTCTCCTCTCTCTCCTCTCATTTTTTCCCCTTGTCCAGTAGAGGACAACTACCACTTTGATGCTGAACATTTCTCACAGTTTATAGCTCCTCCTGTATGATGTGATGAATTCCAGACATTCAGTTTGATCCTTTGGTGAAAGTGAAGGGTGTAATAAAGACAATTTATAGGAATTAATCAAAAGAAGATGATCCAGAAAGGATGAAAAGTCACATCAAGAGGCCTGGTAATGGGGGCGAAAAGCTAATTTTAACAGCGGTGCTCCAGAAAAATTAATACATCATAAGATAAAGGTCACTGGTTGCCAGAAGGAAACCTTTCAAAAGGTACATTGATATTGACTGACATGTCGATGCTGTAGCTGTTACATGTGAAGTGCATTGCTATTCTGACTGCAGGGGATCTCTTCTTCTACTCATGATACTCCAGTGACGTCACAGGTGACAGCGATGACTCAGAGGTGTCTCCCGTCCAGTGACAGAGACTCCAGGGATACCCTACCCCCACCTTGGGCTAAATAAGAAGGATCATGGGAAGTATGACTCAGTCTAGCTTGCCATGTATGCATGTGCAATGGAGCAACACTCCTGACTTGTAGGTGTGTTGGGTGCAGAAGTGGAGTGTGTTTGGCGAGGAGTTTTCGAACTGAAACACTGTGACAAAATAGTCGTTGAATTTTTTCCCCAAAAGACTGCAAATTAGATAAACTGATGCAAAGATGACACCGTTGTTTAACCTCATTTTGAGTCTGAGTTTGACACCACAGAGGTGCAGGAGAGGGAGAGTGCTGTTAAGTACGCAGAAGGAGAAACAATGAATCATATGTCTTTCACAGCAGTAAACAGTGCTGTTAAAATGCAAATACATGCACACTCCAATTGTGAAGTGGCAGCAGCTTCTAAACCAACACCTCAAAATCCATCTGTTCATCTATTACTGCTGCTTTTCTCTGATTGTGTTATTTCTTCTCTTTCACTTTCTTCAGCCTTTTGTCACACTTCCATAGACACCACTGTTTGTGCAGCCGTGTTTCTTTTCTGTACATTTTCGGCACCATTTGTATGTATTTTTTTTATTTATGCCTCTGATTTTATTCCACTGTTTGTTTTTTCTTTTCAAATGTGACACATAATAGTAATAGTAGGGTTTCCTTCCTTACTTCTCTTACTAAATTCAGTGAAAGTAAGTTGATTTACAAAAGATTCATACTTCTTGAAGCCCATGAGGCACTAGATTTTAACAACACAGTACAGTACATCTTTATGTGTGTGTGTATGTCGGAATTAGCTTACATCTCACTAAAAATCCTCGATAGTAAGTGTTTGACAGTTATTCTATTTATTTTCCCTTTCCTGCTCAGCATTACAAGGATGAGTAAACCTGACCTGCATCTAAAGCAGATTAAAATAGAGTTCATGCGTCAAGCTAAATGTTTAGTTAATCCAAGGAATTAATGTGTTGATGCAACACAGGCACTAGGAATTGACTCCACTTAAAGACAAGAGCATCCCAGCATTAAAGCAATGGAGCACATATACTCCATTTAGTGCACATGAATACAGCACACAAAGACTAAT